ATCCCTCTGCCTGCCTCTAGCTCGCCTTCGAGTTTTCACTCCGTCCCGTCCACGTCATACCCTCCGCAAAACCACGTTGCTTAGTTGCTAAGGTCACATCCCTGGCCGCCCGCCTCCTCGTCTTTGACACCGTTACCTGAACTACTAATGACAATGTCCATTTTTGCGCAAAAAAATTGCCAGTGTGGCTTCCGAAAGCGTAGCGTCGACTGGCGTGCTCCAACATTAGGACGTTCTTCATATGGGCCACATCAGCAGTCAACCAACTTATGACTCCATCGAATTTCAAACATGGTTGGGTCACGACGGTTCCTGAGTTTATCAGTTGACTCGAAACCAATGTTGACGGACAGGCGACGGACGGACCCCCCCCGATGACCCCATGGCATATTAGCTACAGCTTTTGACGATGTCAAGGTGAGCTACAAAAAACAACCCCGAGCAACTGGCCAACAATAAAATTGTCAGTAACTTTGGTGCTTTTACTTTCATTTATTATATATTTCTAGGGAGAAAGTATTTGCTGTCGACATTGAGAGCAGGCAGCAAACTAACCACTGTAGGCAGCAAAATTGCTGCTATTTATAAGTAGGAGTGTAACGATTAATCGATATATCGATATTTTTGCCCGCGATACGATACACAATATTTTCAGATGCGTATCGCGATATACCAAATGATATTTGTACTTTTTTGCGTCCTCTTGTTTACATACCATTTTGATCCTGCATTACTGGTACGTCAGCACGAGTGTCATAACATTCAGCGTCTACTTGTGAGTACATAATTCTTGCTGAAAGTAGTTAAAGTGTTTACGTTTGCTGGTCTAAGTATAACGGAAGTCGTCGTAGGTAGACTGATACCCACAGCCCTATATTCGATGCTCTCTGCAGATCATAAGACACATCGTTGGCAGGTTAGCGATCAGGAACCGGTGCATATTTGAGAATGCGATATACACACTCGCTTGATTGGATAAGGGAAATAGCAACGACCAATCAAATGACGTGTTACAAGTTGACAACGAATATCGTCTGCACTGAGTCGTGGCAGGAGTGGGTAAACCCGTCAAACTTGAACTTGTAATTCTATCAAGCTAGTGATTAGAAACATCAAACTGTAATTTTATCAGCCTAGTGATTAGAAACATCAAACTGATTAGTATAGTGAAGCTACATACACAGCATGCAGGGCCTCCTGCAATACAGTAAATTTGTTTAAATTACTGTTTCTGAATGAGAAACTATTTTGGTAATTGATCTACATTTGTATTTTAGTTCCTAACTGTCCAGTGATAGTGTACCAGGAGTGTACCAGATGTTTTTATTTATATTATAAACATGGTTCGCAGTCCTTGAAAAGTACTTGAATTTAGTAAATGTTGATTTTGTGCTTGAAAAGTCATTGAATTTCATGAAAATGTACTTGAATTTTTAGAAAGAATCCTTGCCTGTAATAAAAAGAAATTTTGTACCATCATTAATGTGCAAACCTCAATAAAAATTGCGTTAAATGAGCTTAAAAAGCTATAGACACGATAGACAGTTTAAATGTGATCCATTACAGTAAGTCAGGAAATCAGTCAGGTAAATCAAGGTTATGTTCTAGACAGTGACAGTGTTTAGAAGGGTTTATTAATGTGATCCAGGTAAGTTTTAGAGGTGACAGTGATTAAGAATGGGGTTATTAAATTAATCCAGGTATGTTTTGTTTCTGTGTATGAATTCCGATAAAATGTCCTTGAATTTCTGATAAAATGTCCTTGAAAAGTCCTTGAAAAAATTTTCAGTCCTGTATGAACCATGATAAAGCACTACGTAAAAGCAGTGTTCACTCAAGTGTTCACCCGTGTGTTGTTGCCTCACCTTGACATCGTCAAGCTGAGCTATTGCCATGGGTTGTCGTCCGTCGTACGTCCGTCCGTCTGTCCGTCAACATTTGGCTTAGGTCAACGATAACTCGGGAACCGTTTGACCCACATGTTTGAAATTGGGTGTAGTTGTTACTGCTATGCTCCCATATTAAACGTTCTATTTTGGAGCACGCCAGTACTTTCGAGCCACGGCGATTTTTTGGCAAAAATGGGAATTTCCATTAGTCAGTTCAGGTTCAACGGATTTTACTCATTTTTGGTATGTGAATGAATGAGGGCTAAGGGTTTTGATATTAAAAAAAAAAAAGCAAATTAGGTAGGGTTTGGCAATTATATAGCATATACGCAGATAACAAACAGTCTGTGGGTGTGACACTCGCTCTGGTTCGTTTTACAAGATTTCATTGACAATATATTTAATGCAAAATTGGTATTTCCTCTCCACCCTGCCGATAAAACGTCTATATTAGAGTAAAGTTTTACAAAACATGTCGGAATGCAGCATAACCTATTTATTTCGAATGCCATCGCTACAAGCGCCATCTACCGTCACAAATTGTGATTCATTTTGGTTTATAAATTATTATTGCGATATACAGATGGCAACCGTGTGCTACCGCCTAGAAAACCTCATACGAAGTAAACACTTCCAAGTTCCATGCAACCAATTAACCTTTGACAAAAGTTGTGTTATGGGCAGGGAAACACCATTGTCACGTGGTATATAGCAGCTACATGGAATAAGCGTATCCTCTCAATCTTACACGTTACACATCGGGAGCTCCGCTTTTAGGCAGTGCATAAATCTGAATATTATAAAAACGTTAAATGGTGATTATTTAGGTGTAACACCATCACTCGCCCACATCTCAGACTTTCACATCTCAAGCATTTATTTTCACATAAAAAATTACACATAATTATCAAGAGTATTACTCTTCGTTTCTATAATGTACGTCGATGGTTGCTCAATTAAAACTGACTTCTTCTCACTCACTCATTTGTGTCCTTTTTTGTGGTGAGCTACAGTGTCATTGACACTTTCGTTATGGTGTATCGTTTGTGTATCGTTGCATATCGTATCGTGAGCAAAATATCGTGATACGTATCGTATCGTGGCTTGGCATATCGTTACACCCCTATTTATAAGAATTATGGGTGATGTTTGGCACCACCTAACAGGAAAAAGTAAGCAGGTGTTTTATTCAACTGGCATGTTAATTTCTTGCAGATGGATCTCATGCAGGGTATCAGGGAGGCAATATCGAAAAACAGGTACCCTGCATTTGTGAAAGATTTCATGCGATTACAGTTCCCAGCTGGAAATTACCCTGAGTGGGCTGTGGATGCACTGGCCAGTGTTGACATAAATTTGAGCTGATAGAAGTTGTTGTAAATCTTACACAGGGCACACATGCACATACATATAAATATAATATAGAACACTACATACAGCCTATATAAAGCTGGACTGAGATGTAAACTAGTGTGAAAATAAAATGGAATTTTATTATCAACTAATTTTTCAGTTGGTTTATACATATGATAGCAATTGCAAAACTGCAAGTTCCAATATTATATCGTTCATGGGCAAGTAACGTATGTGCTTGCTTGCACAGCTAAGGATATATTTAAATTTTTAGAAGTCACTCAATAAAACGTCACCATAGAAGGTGCATATAGGGATATTTATAGGCAATTTCCATATGCATAAACATACTCGTGTATACACGCATGTGTACGGACTTCTCAAATGCAAATGCCTGTACTGCCCATTTTTGAAAATTTAACAGTGCGATGGACCTTAGCTTTCCATGCTGTCCATCTTGCTCATGCCTCCTGCTTCATTAGCAGTAGCCCTCTTTTTGCTTCTGCTCCTGCTTTTCCTGGGTGTGCTCATCTCTACATCTTTGAGCACCTCCTGAGAGCTGGCTGCAGATGTGTCAGGCATCTCGATATCTTTCACAGTTGGTAAGTGGTTCTGTTTTGCTGCGCTTGTATCCACTACAACTAATCACGAGGCAAAAAAGATTAACATCAATAACTGTGTAGTAATGGTCCAATTTTACGTTGCGTTTTTCCTAGAAAACTTGTGATCATTATTTTAATCATTGCATCAAGAGCATCAGGTTATCTTACTACAGGGTCCATACAGATAAGTCAAGACAAAAATTCAAGGAGTTTTCCAGGACATTTCAAGGACAATTTTTATTTTTCAAGTACTAAAATTCTAGCTTAACTTAACAAGTGCCGCAGTGCGACAGGGCTCATCTGGTGTCTGGTGTTCTGCTGATAAATTCATTTGTGCATAGCAAGACGTCTTATACATAAGTCCTCTTTATTCTTGTTTGACTTTCGTAGTCAATTCGAACAAATATATCAGCTACACTTTCGCACCCACCTAATCTATGGGCTAATTCTAATAACAAGAACAATAATAACAATTCAAATACAAGTTAATGAATGACATTGACGTTGACATAAAAGATTTCAACATATGAGCATGGATCTCTAAGTTTAATTAGAGGGGGCGGGCGGGTCCTTCTCTCCCACCTCCCTCCCCACTGCGTCCTACCTCCCTCCCTCCTGCCTCTCACCTCCCTCCCCCTGCCTCCCACTTCACTCACCTTCCGGGGACGTTGTCGCGCCAGGCGCGCATTCCATGCTCTCCTACCGGTTCCGGGGGGGGGCACCGGGTACATGCTCTGACTTCCACCCCTTACCTCGCATCTCCCTCCCCTGCCTTCGACCTCCCTCCCCCTGCCTCCTACCTCCATCCCCTTGCACACCATCTCGCACGACCTAATTATACCCCGTGTTCCCGCTCGCCATACACACCGTATCACCGTTTTCCTAGTCCCCGGTCTCAATTTACTACTCGCTCTCCTCTCTCTCTTTATCTTAGACTTCTCTCTCTTCTTAATTATATAAATTTAAAAAAAACAGCGATGATGCCTTTTACTGCCCCTCAATAATACTTCGTTCCTATGCCCCTGAGTGTAACAGCCATAGCAATAATATAGTATATGTGTCTCTAATATTCTATGCGTACAGCTATTAGTTCGCATAACTGGTAAATGGATACGCATGGCATAGCTACATGATATATGTTAAGATTCAAGATGAAAAGTAATATATATTATATTGTACTAGTTATTATTATTCGTTTACAAAGTTACATGAGAATAAAATCTAATTTAAACTAGGCCTATAGTTGCCGCGAGATGGCGCCGTGCACGTTAATCAATAATCAAAGATGCATCACCCTTCTAGCTCCTGGGGAGTTTCTGAAATCCTACAGGCTAAAATCCAAGTAATATATTCAGGCAGGCCGATAATTTCGCTCAGCTGTGAGTTAAACACATGTGCATTGCATGTTGCGCAGGCAACAATTATGATTAGAAGCATGCCAGCCATGGGCTGCCCCATGTTTTTGGCCTACCCACGCGGAGTATTCACTGATTCAGCCTTCAAGGTACTCATAGCAGCACTGCTTAGAAAAAATATGATTTAAGGAGCCGTAAACCGTGTTACAATAAACATTTGCCTTTGCAATTAAACTGTGCAACTGTAGCCTCACATTCACACAGGTATGGGCTCTAATAATAGCAAAAGCAGTTCAGTCCTTGTTAACAGCTCAACAAATCACATGTTTAAACCTCCTCTTTGAGGGTCAACAAGGTTATCCGACACTTACTCTTCGCATTGTCAGCGGAAAGTTACATTTCATGTCCATCAATAAAGGCCATAAAATGGTAGGTCACCGCTAAAACAAAGAAAAAAGTTTTTCAATCGCTCGTCAGACCATGTCATCAGGAAAATGGCTAAAATCTGCCTCCTGCCCATTGACCTTTGACCTGTGCACTCCAATTTCGGCACAGTAATGGCTTTTCCTACATGATGCTATACACCGACTATCACGAGCCTAGGTCGAGCCGTTAGATTTGTGCCGCAATTCTGGCATTTCCTCCCTATACCTTAAGTTAAGGAGGAAATGTTCCCCCTTCTTTTACACCTCTTGACCTTTGACCCAACTCGTTTTCGGATTACCCCCCCCCCCACTGCTCCCGAATATCGTGACCGTACGTCGAGCGGTTAAAGATTTGTGCCCAACTGTTGATGGACGGACGGACGGCTGGCACGCACGCACGCACGCCCGACAATCATGCGATTCTACAAGCTGCATCTAACTGTCAGATGAGCTAATAAAATTCAGTGATTTCATACTTAGCACAGCTTGAAAAGATACATTACATGCAATAGAGGACATGAAAAACTTCTGATTCAGAAAAAACAGAGATTAACGGTGAAAGGTATTCATTATGATGTGGTTAAAGGCATAATAGGCCCATTGATTATACAAAGTTGTCGAATGCTACAGTAACTGCGCACCTTCCTGTAGTTAATAAGCTACATTACCTTATAATCAAACGCGTATTATTTGTCCAATATCACTGCTAATTACTAAGAAATGTCTAATTGAAATCCGCTAAATCTGTAATCTGGCGCCAATGCTATAATTGCGTTGCCAAGCAAAATAGCCTCGATTCGTTAGGCCAACGTCACATGTTGCTACCGGGTGTTTAGCAGAGAAATTGTTGGTCCCGGGATGCTTATATACGACTAATGAGCTAGTCAGCAATGTATCTCTGGGTGTATTCTCGGTATTGAGGCCCACAAGTAAATAATCGTGCGGGCTAATGAACGGGTACCCGTGACATGTCTCTCAATTTCAGACACAGGTGTATTTCGTTTGACCAATAATACGTAAATACGCGTAGTGCCGTCTGCTTTCCATGTGTTAGTCTGTGGCCTGTGGTTAGTCCGCCGCATTCTCCCATAGCGTTGACCCCCAACACGGCCTAACTTCATTATCACCCGAGCGTCCGTGATTCGTACGTGGTTCACGTTCATTACAATCAGAGCCTACTGTACGTATACAGTTAACCGTACTGCTACTATCGCTAGCATGCGTACGGCGAGCCGAAAATGCATGCGCTGCGTGCGTTTTTGCATGCGTGCGAAAATGTCCGGTGGACTATAAATCTGTATCACACCCGTTCGAAGTAGTGCGGTTTTCGAAACTGTAAACAAGTCAATCAACTGCCATTTCGTCGACTTGTGGATTTCAATTAGACATTTCTTAGTAACCAGCAGGGACATGGAACAATTTTCCAGCCAAAAATTTGCCATAGCCAAATGTGCTATACAAAATAAATATTTTGCATAGGCAATTGGATTAAATTTTGTATAGCATTTTTTTTCAGACAATCACAGAGTGCAAATTTAACACCGCAGTGCATGCTTCGCGTGTTATCGTGTCGGCGCTGCTTGACAGGCACAGCTAGCTGACTCGCCATGTTGGCGCAGTAAAAATAAATTGTCTAGAACTTTAATCAAATGTTGGTTCCTTACGTTATATATCCAAAACATTGATGAAATACATGTTCTAGCGATTGTGAAGGCGCGGCTATCCGACTCCTCGACCACGACATTCCTCACTTTATATTATCAAAGGTCGCGAAGAAAGCAGCCCGCGGAGAGCGCGCAGCGCCAGCACAGCGTGGCTGTGTATACGTGCTAAGGCGGCATATTGATTGATGTACGGGGGGAGGGGGGGGGATCGAGTGCAGGATTGGTTTAAAAGTCACGCTTGTGCCTTGGTGTTAACAATCAATTGGCGGGGGGGGGAGGAGGCTCTAATAGCAAAAGCCAGTTCACTCATTGTTAACAGTGCAACAACTCCATGTTTAAACCCTCCTCTGAGGGTCAAAAGTGTATCAAGACACTTACTCTTCGCACGTCAGTGCGAAGCAGATTCATGGTCCTTCAATAAAGCCATAAAAAGATAGGTCACCGCTGAAACAAAAAAAGTTTTCAATCGCTCCGTCAGACCAGTGTCCTCAGAAAATGTCTAAAATCTGCCCCTGCTGCCATTGACCTTTGACCTGTGACCTCCAATTTCGGCACAGTGATGGCTTTTCCTACCATGATGCTATACACCGACTATCACGAAGCCTAGTCGAGCGTTTAGATTTGTGCCGCAATTCTGCATTCCTCCCTATACTTAATTAAGGAGTGAATGTTCCCCTTCTTTTACACCTCTTGACTTTGACCTTTGACCCCAGCTTCGACATCCCAACTCGTTTTGACGCATCCCCCAACGACCCGAATATCGTGACCGTACGTCGAGCGCGTATATAGATTGTGCCAACGTTGACGGACGACCCGACGGACGGAGCGGACGATCAAGCGATTCTACAAGCTGCATCTGACTATGTCAGATGAGCTAATTACATATACATCATACATATTATATCAAGAGTAGATAATAACACATTGTGTTATTATCTACTCTTGATTATATGCAATATTATTGTAGTCGCTGGATAATTTCTGCTGCCAGACAACTGTGCGCTTTAGCTGTGTGCTATGTGCGCCGTGTAATTGTGTGTAAAACAGGAATAAAATGAGAATAGAGGGATGTAGTTAACAACTGCCACTTCACCGTATATTATATACTCACTAAAACACGTACAAATCACACAGGGTAAACTAGAGGTTGCACACTACACACTAAATCTAGCAACAGACGAGGGTGAGAACGAGAGCCCCGTGTCTCTCGTGCAGGCTCTTTTATACCCCCAATCTTGCAAGATGAGTCGCGATCCCACTACCAAATATGCTTCTACCAGTCACTGCTGGCTACAAGGAAGGCATAGGTCTCTTATTAGCGCCTATGGACAGTTCTAATGTGATGACGGTATGAATGACCATTGGTGAGTCGGGGTTTGGAGATGTGCTGCGCCCCCTCGGCAAGTTAAGAATAGAGGTGATATAAATAGCTTTAGATGTGTAATGTGTGTGGTGGGTGCCGCGTGAAACTAAACCCCATGAAAACTAACGGTGTGCGGTTGCACCCCGGTTGGCTATTAGTAGCAGTGTATGTGTCCAGCAGTCCAGAGATAGATCGGTGCTTCTAGCCCGATGGTATGGTGTAAAATTAGCCTGTGTGTGGGCTGGTATTAAATGCGGTCGCGGAATGACATCAGCGTTGCTACATTATATCAAGAGCTAATAATACCTAGAGTGTACAACGGGAAAATAGTGCTATTTCACGACATGATTATTCTACTTTGCCTGCGAGTCTAGAATAATTTTATGGTACTGCATTAAGCAGAATTCTTTGC